AAATGTTGTAATTTCTGACATGAAAACCAAGGGGTGACTGCATAACATAAGTGCTTTATGAAATGACAGAACCATCTAACTGATATGTTTTGCCATATCATTTTGAAAAATTGCTTGATAAAAAAGATAAATCATCCCAGTTAGTCTATAAACAAACTAGAGAACACTAATGGTTTCTGTGAACGGAAATCAACTTTCTAGGGAAATATGCATTCTCTCAAGCTGTCTTAAAAGTTGCAGCACTTAGAACTTCAGTGACTGACTATTGAAATTGACATGATAAGGAGCAATCGATAAACAAGGTATAATGATGCTATTATCAAGAGAATGCTGTGACCTCTAAGTTTCAATGTTGACATCTATATTTCACTTATTCTGCAAAAAACCACTACTTTAACAAAAGGAAAAAAAAAAAAAATTAAAGCTGCTGGGATACAACAAGCAAGCTCAAGATGAACTGGCATTGCAGGACATAGCAGGCGCTTCTATAAATAATCTATAACTAATTACAGGGATCTCACCATCCAGATCATCAAAACTCATTGCTTAAACTTAATGCTGATGTAGATTATGAAAGTTTAACATCCATAATTCATCATTAGTGAGCGCATGCATCGGGCAAACAAGAGCTAGAAAATGCACCTCTTGGTCTTAAATTGGGAAGAACAGCAGAAAATCCACCATAATATAGTGATCACAGTTAGTGAATGACATATATACATTAGCTAGAGACTATATGGTCTCTTCATTAGACACAAAAATACTTTAGAATCACATGGGACAATATTTGATGTTATGTTAGACCTGAAAGCTACCAGATTCAGGATACAGCTTTGCGACTGTTTTGAATTGGATGTCGTAAAACTAAGCATGGAAAATTAACTCTGTCATTTACGATGGCAGTGTGAAGCTGAATCATGTCATGTAAAAGGGTCAGCAATCCAAATCCTTTTGGTGACCAACGACTAGTTGATTTACCGAATGAAAAGATGTGGAAGCGAGACTTATAAGAATTATACTCGTCTATAGTAAAATTTTTCATTTTCCACATTGCAATCAATTGCAACTTTAATCATGTCTAATTCAATGTCCTCATTCTTCGTCCATAAGAAAGAGTTGTGTCAGGGTTACTCCCTCCCAACTTTAAAGTGCCGAAAATCACAATGAACATGAAGCCTTAAACAAATGATACAACAGCTCGATACTTTTGTTGGCCAAAAGAGAGAAAAGCACAATACTTTAAACAAATGCCAGGGAATCAAGATACCTGTATTAGGTGTAACCCAAGCACACCTTTTCTTGCCCTCCAAACTATCAGTTGAATCTGCCAGGACAGTATCAGGAACAGCCACATTATCTGCCCCAACCTTTTCACACCTCTCCGCCTTCGAACCAGAGTTCTTTTTCTTCAATGGCTCCCTTGTACGCCGCACCACCTTCCCACCTGACGACGCCCAACTGTGAGTTGAAGAATCCGTTGACGACGCATCAGATGAGCAGGAAGCGTTCATTGACAAACTGAGTACGCCTTGATGATGATCCTGCCGCTTCAAAATCGTCGGTACTGAAACGCATTGCGGATTTGAACGCGCAGTTGGCTTCTTCTCCTTAGCCTCCGGTTCTTGAATCGTCTGCTCTGGTTTCTTGACAGGTTTCGAAGCTGGTTTCCGTCCGTCGGTGGTCCGAGCTTTGTTGCCGGCGGGAACAAGCACCGGCCGGGACTCGGAGTCGGCAACATTCATGGATCGAACTCTGGGTGGGCCCGACATTGCGAGAAATTCTCTCTTTCAGAAGCTTCTTCCAGAAATTTCAAGTCAATGTTGAATATGAAATTCAAATTCCCGGCTGCACACAAAGAATTGGAAAAAAAATATATGGCCAAAGAGAAACTAAACTACTCTAAGCTCAAAATTTTCGCTTGACAAAGTAGACTACTGGGAATTCAATGCGAGGCTTCTATGACCCAAAACCCTAACGGAAAGAAGAGTTTGAACTTTCAAATGCATTACAGAAAACAAAACCTTTTTTTTTTTTTTAAATTTTGTGGCCGAAAAAGATATGAGCTTTAGATTGTGGGCGACGAAAATGGCGGCCTTGATAACAACTGAGAAAGAGTAAGAAAGTGAGTGAAGCGAAAATCTTTTGACAAATTTCAAAGGAATGTTCTGATGGTGAAGCTTGGTGGAGAAAGCAAAAGCATCGAATCAAAGGTGGACTGTGAAAGAGGGGAGAGAGAGATGCAGCGGAAGAGAGAAAGTAAAGGGAAGAGTTTACCATTTATAGCTCGCCACGTAGGAAACAGAGCTCTGACGAAAAGGACAAATTTGTCCGGCCCAAAAGTGAGGAAATGTTGTCGCCATTTTTTTCCCTTTTCTTTTTCGTTACAGTGAAACGGCAATATTTGTTGTCGTCGCCTGCCAGCTTCCACCTCGGCGGATAACGTTACAAAGCCCCCTTCAAAAAGAAAGGTTTAGCAATAACATTCTCTGAAGTTATCTTAACGTTACAATATTTGTTGTCGCCGCCTGCCAGCTTCCACCTTGGAAGGCTGTGAAATTATTCAAGCAGATGAAGATTAAACGGATGAAATTGGATGTGGTTGTCTATAATATTGCTATTAATTCGTGCCATAGGTCTTTCACTGGGGGTTGATTTTTCAATTAGGCTCTTTCGTGAAATGAAAGATTTAGGGTTTGAGCCTTCTCTTGTAACCTATAACACCGTCATTAAGCTTTTATGTGATAACTTCAGATATAAGCAAGCACTTGAGATGCTCGATACCATGCGTAAGAATGGATGTCAGCCAAATGCAATTTCATATCATTTCTTTTTCGCTTGCATGGAAAAGCCTAGGGATATACTCACATTGTTTTATAAAATGATTGGAAGTGGAATTCGGCCAAGTATGGACACCTATGTGATGCTTGTGAGGAAGTTTGGGAGGTGGGGATTTCTTCGACCAGTTTTTTTAGTGTGGGAGAAAATGGAAGAACTTGGATCCAGTCCTGATGCATCTGCTTACAATGCTTTGATAGATGCTCTTGTGGAAAAGGGATTATTAGACTTGGCTAGGAAATATGATGAAGAGATGTTAACAAAAGGACTTTCATCTAGGCCAAGGAAAGAATTGGAGACAACACTGGAGGTGACAGGAGAATCCCCTGGCGGATAGTTGTGATTTTTAATCCAATTATTTGCATGTGCAATGGTTGTATAGATAGACAGGCACAAGTCTCTCTTTTTCTCAAGTGGTATCATGGGGAAAAAGCAAGCTTAAGGATATGCAAGGTACTAATATGCTAGAATTTGAAAATAAATATCATACATGGAAGATGACTTCAAAGGAAGGTGAGAAATGTTCGCAAACCCATGGAAGAAAAAAAATCAGCAAATCAGTAACAAGCTTGTTCTCCATTGACTGTTGACCCTATATTGGGTGGATTCATAACTCGACGCTCGCTAAGTTGCTTTGCTGATGCTGGTTCCTGACATGCCTGAATGTGATTGGTTGATTTTCAATCTCTACAAGGCATATGTACAAAAAAAAAAAAAAAAAGCCTGATCCGCTGGGATAATCAGCCTGCTATTTATTTCCTCCAAAGGTAGTACTGAAATGCAGTGGAGACTCAGTTGAAGAATTATGTGAGCTTCAGGCGCCTGTGCTTGACTTTGATCATAAATCTCTGTACATAGTGACTTGCCACTACCACTACTGAGGTTTACACTTGTGAGGCTTCTATTGTCATGATGTTCTTGTTCATTCTGTGGTCAAGCTATAGAAACTATGCTATATATAGATTTGTTTAGTCGAGTTGACTAAATTCAACCAATTTCTGTACTTGTTGGGCTTTGAGTATGGTTTCAACATTTTCCTGGACATGCATCAGAGACTTGAGAATTATTTCAGTATGTTTGTTTGATTGTGGCTTCCGCTTTTGGCTTCCTGGTTTGGCCACAATCAAACTTATTTTTGAGGAGCCTGCATAATGGCTATCCAGATTGTTAAGAAGTTTCTTTCTGTTCTTTTTTAAGCGGATTTCATAGAACATGGCAATCATCAATCAATAACAATCATCAGTATATCTTTAAAATCTATTCCCCCTTAGCCATAAAGAGTAGTGGCTTCATTTTGGCTCCTGTCAGATTTCACTATTGATGCGAACATTGCCAGCTCTATGTGCAGTGCCGGCTCCATCCTGGAGTGCATGAGAGTTCCTTCCCTCTTCTAAAATGTGTTTATGGAACGAAAAACATTTTTGACATCTTTACATTATCACAATATATAATTGTTTTCATACATTTTTAAATGATCAAATACATGGGCAATGTTAATGCAATAATCTCATTTTAATTTCATTTTGGTCAAGTAATTTTTGCGTACCAAGTTTGAATGATTTTCTTAGCATCTTCATTTTGTTTTTCTTAAATCTTAATAAAAAAAAATGCTCATAGGGAATGACTGACAGGGAGTTGAAAATCTTAAAGAAGTGAATTTTTGAATTTAGAAGTTATAAATAGTTTAGATGTGGCTCTTAGTAAGGCCTCTTCAAAATTTACATGAAGTGTTTAAGGGAGATCTCTCTCATCTAATATGAATTATCTATCTTATCTCAAGATAATTTATCTTATAGAGGCTATGTAGCAGAGATTTCAAATGGGCAATAGATAACTTTAAAAGCATTACATTGATGGATAGAATGAGAATGTGTTTCGTGCGCGCGTGCGCAAAGCATTGGGAATTTTTTCTTTTTCACCATTCAGAAATTATATATTTTTTAGTTCATTCTTTTTCTTTACATCAAAAAAGTTTCTTCGAACTATTTTGTTTTATTTTTATAAAATATATTTCATGATTTATTTAGGCATAACAATGGAAGCATTTCTTTTTTTTTTTCCCTCGTACATCTGACAAAATATTTTTGAACTCTTTTGTTTTCTTGTAGAAATATCTTCATGTTTCGTTTAGGTCATGCATTGCAGTATTCCTTTCTCTTCATTGATAAACTATAGTTAGTTTTTAATCTTCCTTGTATCGCTCAGGCAAGTAAAATCTAGTTTTCATTAAAAACAAAAGTATTTTTACTAATAGCACATGCCAGCAAATCTATTGCCAAATTAGAGTCCCCCTTTTGGTTTATACCTAATCAACTAAGAGCACATACCAGCAACAAAGTCACCAATGCATGGTCACATCCCACATCACATTCACATCATAGTTGCTATCATCTAAAATTTCAAAAATAAAATGAAATAAAATGAAATTTTATCCTTTTAATCTGCTGCAAGGATATGGTCTGCAACCTTTCTTACTCTTGAAAGTAGGTTGAGAAGTGATCTACCACACGTATAGCTGGATCATCAGTAAAAGATTATTGCATAAGGTTGTAATAGGCACTGCATATTTTTTGTTTCTATTTATTTTCATGACTGATATGACTCAGATGGAGACTGTTTCATCAAACATACCAAAAAGGATGTAATCATGTCAAAGTGGAGGCAGTAGGAGAGTGACCTTCAATTAGCTAAGTTATGTTAATTTTACAATATATGCTAGTCGGGCCACTTGAAATATGCTCTCTTTTCTTCATGTTTAAGGAATCTGTTGATTTAAGGAAACGAAAGAATAATTCAAAGAAACCAAGCTGAACTTTTTCTTTGCTCTTATTGCAGGGCAGGTTTGGGTTTAGCCAATAAAAAAAAAAAATTGCTACTAATTATTCTTCTGTTAGTATTTCTAATGTAACAGACTGTAAAGTTTCTTTTATATTATATATCACATAAAAGGCACGTTTAACGTATGCCATAACCATGTGAAACTTTACGAATTTTCACTTCAAGATAACTTCAGAGAATGTTATTACTGAACCTTTCTGGTGATAAATTACTTTCATGTTTTTTTAAAGCTCTACCAACGCTTTCACTGGCTCTATGCTCCAATTAAAGCTTCATCTTCTTTACTCCCTCTTCATTAAATATATCATCAAAACCTCTATTTCCTGCAATAGTTCATCCTACAGTAAACTCATATAACATGTCTTCTCTAAGATACACAATTTCATATGACTCTAAATCCAACTTTGATGAGCTTAGATGGGTCATTCAAATCCGTAGAACCCTTGAAGAAGAACTTGAGGATGATGGCGAGCTACCTGTATCCATCTTCAATGTTCCCAAGCTTCTCATGGTTAGTGATCCAGATTCCTACGTCCCTCAGCAAGTTGCAATTGGCCCTTATCATTACTGGCGTCCAGAACTTTATGAAATGGAAAGGTACAAGCTTGCTGCTGCAAAAAGGTTCCAGAAACAACTGCAAAACCTGAGGTTAGAAAACCTCGTACAACAACTGAGAAGTTGGAGCAGAGGATTCGTGCTTGCTACCGCAAATTCTTAGATTTCAGTGGCGAAACATTGGTGTGGATGATGGCAGTTGATGCCTCATTCTTGCTCGAGTTCCTTCAGGTTTATGCCATCGAAGAAGGATCAAAAGTACCTCGGGTTTCCTCAAGGTTTATGTCTCATTTGGTAGATTATGCAGGGAAGAAATCGGCTCATAATGCAATTTTGAGAGACTTAGTAATGCCTGAGAATCAACTTCCCTTGTTTGTTTCGAGAGAGATGTTGGAGTTCAAGTTCACATCTTTAGAAGATGCAGATGACTTACTTTTTTTAATGGTTATAGGATTGTTCAAAGAGCTTTCTCCTTTCAAGCTGATGGATGATCATCCAAACGTCCAAGTCTCAGAATGTGCTCACTTGTTGGATTTCTTTTATGACATGATTGTGCCAAAATTGGAACAACAATCTGATATAGTCGAAGTTGACGAGGCTCATCAACTTGAAGAAGAGCAAGAAGAGAATGAAAATCCAACCTCAAATCCAAACCATGTTGAGAGATTCCTAGTGAGCTCTGGAAGTTGCTTTCAAAATAAACAAAGGGCCAGTACGTCTGATTAAGAAGGTACTACTATCTAGACCTGTTCATCATTAAGTTGCCTTGGACAATCATCTCCAACCTTCCTGGACTTAAAATTCTTAAAGTGCCTGTAGAATCCTTCTTCTTTTCCTTGATAGATAAAGAAGAAGAAGAAAAACCAGAAAATGGGGATTCAAGCTCGAATAGTCTTATTAATAGATCACCATTAGTAGAGGAAATTGCTATTCCATCAGTTTCAGAACACTTTGATTCAGGGGTTCGTTTCTTACCGACAAATAAAGGCATATCAAGCATTGCTTTTGACACAAAAACGCGCACATTTCACCTTCCCACCATTAATCTAGATGTCAACACTGAAGTTTTGTTGAAAAATTTAGTTGCATATGAAGTATCAGCAGCTTCAGGCCCGTTGGTTGTGACAAGATACACTGAACTGATGAATGGGATTATAGATTCTGGGGAGGAGGTGAAGATACTGAGAGAAAAAAGGGATTGTTCAGAACCATTTGAAGAGTGATGAAGAAGTAGCTAACATGTGGAACGGGATGAACAGGTCTCTAAGATTGACTAAGGTGATATTCTTGGACAAGGCCATTGAAGATGTGAACAAGTACTATAATGGAAGAATAAAGGTGAAAGCTTGGAAATTAATGAAGCTTTATGGGTTCAGTTCATGGCAGTGCTTGACATTCCTGGCTGCCATCTTGCTCTTGCTCTTGATGACCTTGCAAACTTTCTGCTCTGTTTATACTTGCAGTCGCATATTTCAGGTGGATACTACCGATGAATGATTGATTCATTTCAAATTAACTGAAATTTGTTCTCTCTCTCTCTCTCTCTCTCTCTCTCTCTCTCTCTCTAACTCTTGGTAATGTACCTGTGCTGTGGCTTCTGAAAGAGAAGCGCGTTTTGATTTGTGAATTTAAATCTCCACGATTGAGTTGTTGAGATTTTCAGTTGATGTTCGTATACTTAACTTCTCTCTTTTCTGGTAAGATGTTGTACTCACGTAATTGGCCTTGAATCTTCTTCTATATTAAAAAAGGGGATAATTACATAACATTCCCGAGTGAATAAATTAATTACTCACAAAATCTGTTCACTTGTAAATTTAACCTGTAAATAAATATAGAAGTTTGACTTATAAATAAACTAAAAAAATAATTAACTTTTTATTTAAGATCTAAATGTAATTCTTTACATACTCCCTCCGTTCAAAAATATAAGGCATTTTTTAAAGAGTTAAATGTTAAAAAATGTAAGACATTTTTAGTCTTTCAAGATGTAATCATTATCTTTTTTTTTTTAAAGTGCCCATATTAATAATGACTTTATATTTATTGTAGGGTATTTAATAAGAGTAAATATAGAAAGATAAAACTAGTTTAAAAGTAAATAACTGCTTTATTGAAAGGTGAGATTCTGTTAAAAATGCCTTATATTTTTGAACGGAGAGAGTATAAATTTATGCTGCTTCTTGTATAAAAAAAAAGAATACAAATTTCAATTTATGTTTGTTATCAACTGTAAAATGATTTTAAGTTGACAGGTTTTTTATAATAATCTTTTTAGAAAATTCAATATCTTTGGCTTCCCTCATGTTGAGGGGTTAGATTAATTTAAATTGAGCTCAGATGGAACTTTTTCAAAGAGAAGTTTTATTACCTCATATTCCTCAATCAAACTTGAAAGCTCTTATCAAAAAAATACAACTTCTTTATTAGTTGAATCAAATAATCAAGCTGTTTTTATAAGAAAAATTTTAAATGAATTGCATTCATAAGTTCAACATTGGCAAGCAGCTCATTTGGATTAAAGTCCTTGTAAAAGTATTTGCAAATTGCATTGTAACTAAATCCTCACACCAATCTAATTGGGGTTAGGTTTAGAGGTTTAAATCTCCTGCCAGGAGAGAGGTGCCGACACACCTAGATTTTATCAGGACATTGTCACAAAGCCCAATTACAAGTAATAGCGTCCAGAGGAGCTAAAGCCCAAAAGCTTCAGTATTTACATAAGCCCACATATATTATTGTACAGTGTTGTAATTTTACATTCTATTCTTATCTATATTGCCATATGGCATTGTAACATTTACTAGGGTTTTTAACCCAACTCTTATATAAAGCAATAATACATAACTGGTACTATGTGCTACTTTTCAGAATTTCAGGTTTTGTGATTTTCTTGTCTTGGTATTAGAGCATTTCTTGGCATTGCTGCTATGGCTAACTCTAGCTCTTAAAATAGTCTAAAAACTCCTACTGCCATTCAGAGTTCACTTATTTCTGCTTTAAATCTGCCTAAGGTTTCAGCTGGTTCTAATGGTCTCTCACAGTCTTGCTCTATGAGACTTGATCGGACCAACTATACTCTATAGTCTACCTATGTTCCTCTAACTATCAAGGGCTATAAACTTGAAGGTTTTATCACTAGTACCAGCCTCTGTCCATCTCAGTTTATTGTTGAGAATGGTGTCTTAAAACTCAATCTAGAATTTGAGGATTGGATTGTAGCTGACCAGCTCCTTTTCAGTTGGCTCCTCAACACTATGACTATTGATGTTTCTTCTAAATGACCAATGTTTCTACCTCTGCTGGTCTTTAGCATGCTGTAAAAGAAGTTACTGGAGCACAGAACAAAGCCAGAGTTCTTATGCTGCGTTCTGAGTTACAACACACTAGGAAAGGGTCTTCTTCTATGCAAGAATACCTCTCTAAAATGAAGGCTCTCTCTGAAAGTTTGTCTCTCGCTGGCAGTGCTGTACCTCAGTTTGATTTTTTTACTTCAAGTATTAGCAGGACTTGATGGAGAATACAATCCCATTATAGTACAACTTTCAAAACAAGATGATATTAGCTGGATTGAATTTCAGGCTAAGCTGCTTACCTATGAGTCTTGGTTAGAGCAACTCAATCAAATCTCTTAACTGAATGTTTCTTCTTAATTTGCAAACCTTGCTTTTTTTTGACTCTTCTTGTGGTTCTTGGCGTGGTTCTTGTGGAGGTAGACCTTCTTGTGGAAGAGGCAAATTTGGTCGTGGAAGTGATAGACCAGTATGTGCGTTATGTGAGAAAACTAGTCATCATGTCAAAAATTGTTATAAGAGGTTTAACCACTCCTTCAAACCTCCTACTAATGGCAGCAATAGCAAGAGTTCATTTGATGACATTCATGTTGGTCAAAACTCTGTTTTCTATGCTTCACCAGAAGTGGTTAATGATGCCTCTTGGTACCTTGACAGTGAAGCCACCACACATGTCACCAATGACGCTTCCAGACTTGACAGTCCTATGAAGAATGATGGTAAGATAACATTATTTATTGCCAATGGACAAAATATGAAAGTTGAATAAATAGGTACTTCTAGAATTCAAAATGTGCCTAGAAATTCTGTTGTCCTTAAAGATATTCTGTATACTTCTACTACAAAAAAAATCTTCTAAGCATTCCTAAACTTACTGATGATAATGATGCTACCATTTCTCTTAACTCTAAGACTGCTCTTGTAAGGAAATAGAGAACAAGGGAACCTCTTCTTCAAGGAATGAGAAGTAGTGGAGGACTTTATAAAGTTGATGCAAAGAAGATTAAAAGACTTAAAGACAATTTTGGAGACCCACAGTTACTTCTCTCAGCTGAACAAGTTGACAACAATAGTAAAATTAATGACAAGTCTAAAAGACTATGGTATTGTAGACTAGGTCATCCTAGTGACTGAATTTTGAAGAAAGTGATTAGTGATTGTAATATCAAACTCAATGATGATGATCAGCCCTTGTTTTATGAATCTTGTAAGTTTGAAAAGTCTCACTCACTACCTTATAAAATTTCTATATCTCATGCATATAATCCCCTTGATCTTATTTATACAGACTTATGGGGACCCTCTCCAATTTAGTCCTTAAATGGTTACAAGTATTGCATATTGTTCTTGGATGATTTCAATCAATATAGCTGGATTTTTCCTTTAAAAACTAAAGATGGAGCCTTACCCATGTTTGTCAAGTTTAAACAATTTGTGAAAAACCAATTTGATAGAAAAATTAAGGCTATTCAAAGTGATTGGGGAGGAGAATATAGAAGTTTTACTAAGTTGGTACAAGATTCTGGCATTCATTTTAGACATTCTTATCCTTACACTTCTTTATAAAATGGTAGGGCAGAAAGGAAACATAGACATATAGTAGAAGTTGGTCTAACCCTTCTAGCTCAAGATCACATGCCTTTATTTTATTGGTGGGAGCTTTTCATACAGCTATTGAGCTCATTAACAAGTTCCCTACTCCTGTTCTTGATGATAGTTCACCTTATCAGTGATAGTTTATTAAGTATCCAGACTATAAGAGTTTCAAGGTTTTCGATTTTGCATATTACCCCTGTCTTAGAGCTTATAACCAACACAAAATCAAGTTTCAAACCATGAGATGTGTTTTTCTAGGCTACAGTAATCATCATGAAGGCTATAAGTGCCTAAATCCTACTGGGAGAGTATATATATCAAGAAATGTGGAGTTCAATGAATCTAGCTTCCTTTTTGCAGATGGATTCTTGAATAAAAGCAAAGTACCTGAAGTTGAAATTCACCCATAGTGTTCTTTAAGTCTTCCTTGAAGCTGTTGTCCTCTAAACATCATAAATCTTATCAGCATATGGTACCAAACATAATAGATGATGCTGTATCACCTTCTTCTTCCCATGTTTCAATTAATAATTAGTTTATTTCTAACTGTCTTAGTTCTAATATCGGAATTGAAGAACTTGCTAAACGTGATTCTACCTTGTTTAGTACTTTACCTGATTCTTCAAATGTTAACATGATTTCTGATTCCTTATCTAGTGATAGAGGGCAGCTTACTCAATCTATTCCTAACACAAAAACATATTAGATATAGGATACTCAGTCCAAACATCATATGATAACATGTAGCAAATCTGGTTTTTTCAAGCCTAAGTAACCATATGTTGATATGGCCATCACAAATGAATGCACAAAAGTTACAGAACCAAGTAATGTTCAAGATGCAATCAAGTCAGATTTATGGAGGAAATCTATGATTGAAGAGTTTAATGAACTAGTTAAAAACAAAAATTAGGTGCTTATACCAACTACTGGGAGAGAAAGACTTGTGGATTGCAAGTGGATTTTCAAGAGTAAATATGGTCCTAATGGCAAATTTTTAAAGCCCAAAGCAAGACTAGTGGCTAAGGGGTTTTAGGTATTGACTATGATGAGACTTTTAGTCCAGTTCTTAAGCCATCTACTCTAAAATTTATTTTCACTATTGCTGTTAGTCTTAATTGGCAAATAAGATAGTTGGACATCAACAATGCTTTCTTAAATGGCTTTCTTACAGAAAGGGTTCTTATGAAACAACCAGAAGGCTTTATAGATAAGAGGTATCCTAAACATGTGTGCCTTTTAAATAAAGCCATTTATGGTCTAAAACAGGCACCTAGGGCCTGGTTTGATAGACTGAAAAATATATTGTTGAGTTGAAATTTCACTCATTCCAA